TATTCTAAGATTATGTCTTAGGTTATGTATTGCTGTAATAAATTACCATGATCATAAACATCTTGGGGAAGGAAGGGTTTAATTCAGTTTACAGCTCTCAGGTCACACTCCATTGCTGAGTGAAGTCAGGGCAGGGACCTGGAGGGAGCAGTGGATGCAGAGGCCATGAATGGTGCTGCTTACTGGTTCGTTCAGCCTGCTTTCTTATACATCTCAGGACTACCTGAGATGGCACATTCACACTGAGTTGGGACATCCCACATCAATCATCAATCTGGAAAATGCCCTACAGTCTTGCCTATAGACCAATCTTATCTATTGTCTTAATTGAGGACCTCTCCTCTCAGATAGTCTAGACTGTATCAAATTCACATAAAATCTCACCAGCACAGGGTACTTTATCAGAAACAAAAGACAATAATTTAAATATTATCTGAGAAACATCCACAAACAGTATCTGGCCAGTTGTGCTATCTTTTATTTTGCATCTGGGAGGAATTTGGTGAAGGGAATATATTGTATGAATTGTTTTTATTAAAATATTTTGAGGTTGAGATAGTTTGCCAAACTTAATCACAATGGGCATGAATTCATCCAGCCTTCTGTAAACTCTTATCTGTACTGACATCCATCCTACTATATGGCAGGGGGGACCTTCCCAGTTACCATGACTCTTACTTACAAAATACCGAATAAACTCAGGGAAAAGGAAAAAAAATGGCCTCACTTTCACAAGTCTCTATAAAATGATAATTGGGATAGCCACCCATAACAATAAAAAGGAGGAATTAATTTAACCATATGAACTGCATGGTGGCATGAAAAATCATGTCTACAATTAAATCTAATAATAATGATAATAATAAAACATCAGTAAGAAAAATCTGAATTTACTATATGCTTTGGTGGTATCTATGTGACTAAACCAGCATTCTCCCACTTAAATACATGCTGCATTCCAGAAGTTCTTTGACTAGACAGCTATTTGGAATTCAGTAAATCACTTACAAAGCACAGTATGCTTTCTCAGATGAGTAAAAAATCTGCCTCATTTGACAGTCACTTACTGAACAATTCACGACAGGACTGCTGACGTCCTGAATTAAGGCCCTATAAATGAAGAAGATAGGATGATGGAGGAAGAAACCACATGAAGAGGAATGCTCAGTACTGTTCCCTTTCCCACACTTCTGAAATGCAAGCACTTGGGGCTCTATTCCGCTAACATCAGTTCATTGGGATCCTTTCCACGGTCCACTATCCACATTTTGCTCTATATCCCACCATCTAGTTCACAAACCAGGATATGTTCAGATACTGTCTTTCCCTTTATAGTGCTCTGAGATTTAAAATTAGGGGCTAGACTCCCTTATTTACACCAGTCTTAGGCGGGAAAGCCTTCAGAAACACACAGAACTGGCCTGCAGTCCCAGGCACATCTATTTGCAGAACCTAATGCTAAAGTATGGCCTCTTGACACATGCAGTTCCATCTTGGCTTCTAGCCCAGTGGTGTTTGATAAAATTCCAAACAGCACCTCACCTAGGATTTTTTGTTATGGCTTCTATATAAAAAAAATCTCATGTGTTCAGACTTGGCTGTTGGGAGATAGGCTGGGTACAGAAGATTAGCTCACACAATCTTTAACTTCATCAATACAGGTATATGTTGATAAATTCCTCAGGAGCTGACTGGGGTTGAAGGAAGGAAAGTCACTGGGAGCTTGCATTTCAAGACTATCTTTTCCCCTGGCCCTTTCTTATCTGTCCCTTTACTGTCTGGGTGACAGGTGAAGCTACTTTCCTCTGTCTTTCAGTCATGTTAACTTTGCCTTGATAGGTACCTAAGAGTAATAGAGTTGGTAAATGAATTCAAACCACTGACACTATGAGCCAAAAGTAAAACCTTTCTCTTTTAAGTTGCCTAGTTGAGGATTTTGTTTCAGCCTCAGAAATGTTGACTAACATAGTTATAAACTAAAACAATATGGGAAATAAGACTTTGTGCTTTCTAAGGGTATTGGGAAAATAAGATACAGTAGGTCATTTGGAATAAACCCCGTAGTCTAAGCCTCCATTTCATAACTACTAAAGATGATGTCTACCTTTTCAAGTTATGATGGGCAGAGGAGATGGCAATAAAACATTTAGCATAGAGACAGCATTACTAAATTGGAAGGCATTCATTTCCACTTCTTCCTTTCAGCTGAACAGTCCTCAACTTTCAGGTAGTAGGAAAGCAAGATAATGAAAAGGATTATAATGATGCAGCTTTTAAGCCTCAAAGTTGTGTTTCTATTATTATAGAGGACCATTTTTCTAAAATCAAGCTAGAGCATTCAACTGGAAGGTAACTGCTATAGACATCTGAGAATGACTGCAGAAGGTAGAAAACAGCAATGTCAGGATTCCCATCAAACATTAGGAGAATGCACACATCCAAAACCTCAGTTCTGCTCCCAAGGTGGCAGTCGGTGACAGCCAATTAGACAAAGGCAGAGCAATGAAAAACAAAACCAAAACAATGCAACACACATTAGCAGAAGTTTTATCATAACCAGAAGATAGAAAGGATGACTGTGTTCTAGTTGTCTTTTCTCTTTTAAAACAGGTAGTTTGGATCATGTGGGTGTATTTGCATACATGCATTTGTGTATGTGTGTGTATGTGTGTACGTATGTGTTTTTATGTATGTATATTTGTGTGTTTACTAGTTTTCAAGCTCATACACTAACTTCCCATATAACTAGTTAATTTTCAAAACTCCCATTAATATACTCTGTTAGACTGAAACCATGGAAAGTTTCACCAATATTAAATTTCAGATTGTCCATTTCTGGCCTACAGAAGGCTTTTAAAGTTCACTACTAAGTCATTTCATTAACAATTGACCAAGAAAAAGAATTTAAACTGATGAACTGCTGTTGTGAATTTGTCTACTTCCCCCTCGAACTCTGGCAACTTCTAAGAACTTCATGTATTTTGAAACACTGTTGCAAGTCAGAGATACTTCTGTTGCTTTATGGCTTCCCGATGAAGTGATCTTTTTACTATGGTGAAATGTCCCTTTTCTCCCTGGCAATAGTGTCTTAAAATCTCCTTTCTTGTATGTTCGCATGGCCATTCTGGCCTTGTTACGGTAATCTTATTATTTTGAAATTACCGCCTTTTACTGCCTACCAATCTTCAGCTACTGTGTATTGTGTGAACATGGTTGTGGGTGTACATGTTTGTATATACATGAATATGTATTTTTCAATGTGTACATATGTATATATATGTATTAATATATGATTGTGTATACTTCTAATGTGCATACATGTACATGTGCTTTGTATGAGCATGTGTGTGTATGGGTGTACGTACTTGTAAATGTGTTTGCACATGTGTACATGTGCATGTGTATATTTCTGTGTACATGTGTATGTGTGTACATGTTTATGTGTACGTGCATGTGTGTGTATGGGTGCATGTACTTGTGTATGTGTGTTTGCACATGTGTACATGTGTGCATATATGTACATGTGCATGTGTATATTTCTGTGTACATGTGTATGTGTGTACATGTTTATGTGTACATGCATGTGTGTATGTATGCCTGCTTGTATTTGCTGTTATTTCCCTCTTTGGTTTCATTTGTAAAATATTTTTTCACTTTAAACTTTCAACAATTTATGTAAGTTTTGGACATTTCAATTCTATTTCTGCATCCTGTTTATTTATATACTTTATCATTTTCCTGATGTAGGCCTGTTTTTTTAAAGAGTCCTTAAGAGTAAAGCCTTCTGATACGCTTTCTTTGCAGCAGAAATATTACTGTTTATGCACCTTTTTCTTGAAACTTAGATATGACTTGAAGTTTTTATTGCTTATTTTTATGTACAAATAACATTTTCTTGACTTTAGGATATGATTGCATGTTCATATCAACAGAGATTCTTCAAAATGCCTCCATCCTGAGATGTCCCCACTGTCCCCTTCCTCCATGTCCAGCCTCAGTGCTGAGATGTTCCTACCATACCCTTTCTCCATGCCCAGCAAGTCTACTTTCTTTCTTTCCTAATACTGCTCTAATCTAACTGGCTCTTTTCTTTCCCTTTAAGCAGGGCATTAAACTGAAAGGCATCAGTCATTGTAGGAAAATGTCTTTCTAGTCTTGCAGCTTCTCCTTGCCCTGGCTAGCATTTCTGAAGTACATAACAGTAGAACTACTCCAGCCCCATCAGAACTTCTTGCTAGAGGACTTTTCTGCCTTGTCTCAGGGAATTAAATCTCCCCCACTTTTCGCTGCTGATTCTGTGCTGGCTTAGCCTACATTGGACTCCCTGTCTGTCCCATTTCTGAGGAGATCGTTTTCTCAAGTCTGACAGACAGTGCATTCATCGCTTTCTTTTGCTCTCCCTGCAAACACTAATGCCATGGATGCCTAAAGGTCATCGTCTCACAGAGTTTGCTGTACACTGTGCTTGAGTTTTCCCCTCTGGTGCCGGTAGAAACTCCCAGAGATCCAGAGGCTGCATTGCAGGGCTGCCTCATGTGTCACCTTCCAATATTCACATTTTTTGATAAAACATTTTTCCAGATGTGGAGATCACAGGTGGACAGTGTCCACAAAGGAGGGCAACCAACAAAGCCCACATGAATAATAAATTACAGCACTGACTCATCACAGGGCTAAGATCCACGTCATGAATCAGCAGCTTCTGCCTTCACAAGGCCATGAGTGGAAGTGAGCAGTGGTCCTCAAAATATGCTCCTTGGGAGTTAACAGAAATTAGGAAGTTAGCTCTGCGACTCCAGAGAACATCATGTGAGAAACAGCAGGCAAAAGAAACCCACACCTCTCCATCTAAAACACAACCAAATAAGGAAGTGGCTAAAGTTTGTACAAACATATTAATGAAGAAATCAGAGATCTGAGGAGAAAATTATTGGCGTTGAAATTTATCTCATATTTATTTATTACCATTTTTAGGAGATAATATGTTCTAATTTTCTTACCTTATACCAAGTGACGGTTGGTTTGACACCGGGAGGAAAATATCCATCCACATTTGGACACGTGATGTTATGAATACTGTATTCGATATACATTTTCTGCACTGGCAGTCTCATGGAGGATTTGAAGCAGCTGTCCTTCTGAACGACTTCCAGGGGAAAAGCAACTTTGCTGCAATATGTGGTGTTCCTGAGAAGACAAATGCACACTAAGCATGGAGGCTCATCTGCATTTGATTTAATACAGCTGGGACTTCTTTAAAAGCAAGAATTCATGGGGAAATTAAGTGACTTACTGAGATATCTCTTTTACTAATTAGCACTACACACTAAAAAGCAAACAGGAGCATCTGCTATTAATGTACTGAAATATTTATACTCTATACAGAGACCTCAAATGTGTATTTAAGATGTTCATTTAAAACACTCTCAGCAGTAGTGTTTTTATTAAGGCCAAGGTAAAGATAGCATATTTAAGGGTACAACCACACTTGAAATAGAAAAGTTTCCAGGATTTTAGCTTCTGACCTACAGGGTTTGGAATTTTTTTAACAAGATCAAAATTTAAAAAGGGAGAAATAGATCCAGGATGTAATCTAAAACATCTACCGAGTGTCACCTATGCCAAAAAAAAAAAAAAGGAATTCATAGAAAAAGCAAACAAAACAAACAATAAAGAAAATTATGACATAGCTTTTAAAATTTTTGTACATACCTACAAGCAATGATGAAGGGAAAAACAGGCACAGGAAACATCTTACAATGGAGTAGAAAAGTCTACTGTGTTGTTTGTTCAGACGGAGCCACATCTATGTCAAGTTCATTTCTACTACACCCTACCCTGCATTCTACACTTAGGTTTCCTATACAGTAAGCACACTGCATATTCCATACATATACAAATACATATATATATATATGTATATATACATGGGATATATGATATATATGTATATATTAAACTACATGAATATATGATAGGCATTGAGCATAATCTTGGCAATGTAAGTTCAACATTGCCATTTGAATTTGAGAAAATGAGCAATAAAATATAGGAAACTGAATCTAACTCCATAACCTCAAACACACCCAGCCCTGTCTAGTGGTTTCCATGAGAATGGCGGCAATAGCCTCAAACGTTTACATACTTGGTTTCCCCACTGGTGGAACTCTTTGGGTAGGATTAAGAAGTGTTAACTTATTGAAGGAGGTGAGCCACTGGGGATGAACTGTGAGGCTTCGAAATCCAATGCCATTCCCAGTTCCCAGTCTCATGGTTATCATCTCAAGATAAGAACTCTCAGCTTCTGATTCACCGGCATGCCTGCCTGCCTGCTGCCATACTCCCCAGAGGTCAGTAGAAAAGAGTGGCTATTGCTGCCACAGGCCTGACCATGCTGGACTCTTTTGGGACTCGGGACTAGGAAATCTATTGAATGCTGTAAGCAGGGCTTAAGGGGCCACCCTGGTCAGAGCTTTGAAGATAGTCAGGGAGAGGTAATGACGTTCTGCCCCTCTAGGTGCACAGCAGGAACCTCAGCAGCACCAGGTGCACAGCACAGGAAAATGCACAGGGAGTCGATGATGGTCACCCGGGAAATGTTAAAGGATTAACAGTTGTGAAAAGGAGCCTAATGTATCCCGTTCTTCTGACGGATAGATAGAGGCCAGAGCTGCAGACTTGTACACAGTTAGTCTCAGTTCTCCAGCTAAACAGTAAAAAGTTTTGGGCTTTTGTGCCTCTCACCCAAAGCTCTTTCTGACACAATCTTCTTGACGACGCCACTTGTACCTTTTTGGACATAGATAATAACAACATAAGTATTCCATGTTCACTGGAAATCTATATGTGCCTCTAAACTTTATTCCAGTAAGATTATTATCAGAAGACAACCTCCAAGGGGGCATCACAGGCTACAAGGGATTTAAACATTTTTTGTTTTGGTTTGGTTTTGGTTTTTGGCAGCAGGGAATGGAGAAGAGCATGTTCACTAAACAACATAGCATACATCTATCAAAACTGTACTATCTCTCAGTAAAGAGGAGTCAACACTCATGAGAGAGAAAAGAATGGGCTTACTAACTATTAGAGGATCAACTGTGTTGATAGCTCCCAGTGATTTTCAAATGTTAACTTTTTAGCACACAGAACCGCAGGACTGGATTACATATGGAACTGGGCCTCTCAGGATGTAATTAAGGCAAATGAGGTTATACATGGGCTGCCATCCAATGCAACCACTTCAGAGGTTAGGACGCAGATACCGGAAGAAGAGTTGGAGATAATGTTAACATATGTAAGCCAAGCACTGGGAGTGAAACCCACCCTGCCAACCCTGATCTCAGACTTGTAACCTCCAAAACTGACACCAATATTCCTATTTAATAGTAGGCAACTGAGCTAAATGAAGAGACAAATGTGTCCTATATATGACTTTAGAAAATACATTGCAGCTTGGTAGCAAAATGGGACTGTGATACCTAAGCTCAATTGTGGTGATTTTTAAAAGGGATTTAGGTAGTCTAAAAAAATTTTGGAGCAAACATCTTGCACTGATGTGCAGAAAAGAAAATTGGCATTTTGTAGTATTAATGATAAAATCACATACATGCTTTAAGAACAAAGATGGATTTGATAAACATTGATTAGCTGCGTTAGGTCACATTTTTGGATTCTCAGGGGTACAGTATTCACTTCCTCTGAAGAGAATTTTGGTTGAAAATTTAAAAACACTGTGCTAAGTATATTCAATGCCTCCCAAAATCTTTCTTCTGCAAACATATCTCAAGTGTGGTGTCTCTGCCAGGTATTTCAAGGAAAAGCCAAGCATAACAGATATGAATTGGCTCTTCATTGTTCATTTTACAGGGAAACAACGTCTCCAGGCAAGGCAAACATGTAGGCAGGTTCCATGGCCATGGAAAGAAGCCAATAAACTCAAGCCCAGATTCAGACAGTATTGCTATATTACACTTCTTAAAAGGAACCACCCGCGAAGAACAGTCTCAGACACCAATCTTCTTTGCACACCCCTTCCTCCCACATCAGCTGGGCCATTGAAGTAAGGCATAATAACCCATCTAATGAGTCCTTCCCCTGCCTGGTTGCCATGGCATATTCCTTATTTAAATAAAATCCTTGGGATCAGAAGGACAAGGGAAAGTCACCACCGAGAAGCAGCCTACCTCAACATACAGGTGTAATTGCCCGTGTCATTGAGGAGGGTGGGCCGGAACCAGAGCACATCTTTCTCCTTACTGATGCGATTCTCTGGGAGGCGGAAGTTAATGGGTTCCTCCAGGTCCCGATCCTGCCTGGTCCAGTACCAGATCAGGGTAAGGCCAGAGGAATGAGCAGTGCTGTAGTTGTACTTCAAGAAGTGTTCAAAGAGGGGACACTTGATGCGAGCTGGCTCATCTTCAAACACTTGGATTTGTCGCATGGTATCCAGACCCCAGTCATCACAGCGTTCTGGAAAAAGCAAAAAGAAAGGGCAAATGAGTAATTTCCCAATAAAGACCACCAGAACACTGTCTCCTTAATACTGTCTGACCTTTTCTAGGAGCCTCTTTCTCCAGACATCTCCAATAACTTCCCTCTGATAAATATACATAATAAGCACCTGCCATGAGAAGGAACTATCTCTATCTATTTATCATTTGGTGACAGTTATCTGTGTCTTGGTACTGTGGCATCCTTCAAAGAATGTCTTTAAAAGAAGACCTGGATTTATTAAACCACAGAGACCGAAAGGTCTTGATGATGAAGTCATCGCTGAAAAGACAATTCTTGTCTAGATGGAGAGAAGATACTTTGCTCTCTCCATGTCTCCTTCTTTTGGAGACAGACTTGTACTTTTCAGGAGAAATATAATGCGAGCCACAAACTCAATGTAACATAGCCTCTTGCCACATTAAGAAGCCAAAATGAAACATAATATTTTGTTAAGTGATATAGCCAATAAACCTAACACACTAATGATCTTTTATACATTTACATTCTGTGTACTAAATATTTAAAATTCACTGTATTTTACAGTTGTGATGCAACTTGACCTGGGATGTCCATGAATGTCAACGAGTGACCACACTGTGCAAACAAAACTGCAAAACTTAGGGAGAAAATCTGTTAGTATTTCAGTGATTGAAAATAACAATATGCTGATGGTTTTTTACAACTTATTTTATAAAGAAAAATAGTCACTGATGTATTAAGGAAAAAAAGACATAATAATTACTTTTGTTCCTGGGAGTGACATCAGAATGGTACAATATAGCTGGAAGATATCATAAGAATACAGAAAGGATTTCATGGGTGATAAAGTTCCTGTAAGAACCAGTCAAATCACCAGAAAACAGTTTTATTTATTCCTTATACTTGTAATAGTCATATGCAAAAGCACATAATATATTATATAAATACATAAATATGTGACATATATATGTTGCTATACTATACAACATATAAAATATAACATTCATATAAAATTTAAATAGTATAATCTTCCTTAATTATAATTTACACCTACAATTTCCATGTTTTATAATAAATAGAAAACAGATTTTTGTATACTATAATATAAAATAAAATGGAAACTAAGGCTATGAAAAACTTTGGAGTGGTTTAAATGAGAATGGCCCCCACAGGCTCATATATTTAAATGCTTGATCCCCAGTTAACTGTAACCCTTTGGGAAGGGTTAGCGATGTGGCCTTGTTAGATGAGGTGTGTCACTAGGGGTAGGCTTTGAGGTTTCAAAAGACTCCTGCCATTTCCAGTATGCTCTCTGCTTCCTGTTTGTGGATCAAGTTGTGAGCTCTGAGATGTTCCTGCTGCTAAGCCTTTGCTCTGACATCATGAACTCCAACCCTCTGAAACCATAAGCCAAAGTAAATGCTTTCTTTTAAAAGTTGTGCTGGCCTTAGTACTTTGTCACAGCAATAGAAAAATGTCTAAGACAGACCTCTCCAATGAAAACTCCAAAATGCGGACTACGGAAACACAGACATTCAAAAGGCAGATGTAGGAATATATTTGTGACTTTGAGACCAGCCTAGTCTGCACAAAAAGTTCCAGGCCATGAACTGATAAAGGTCTTCTCCAAGAAGAAATACAAATGGCTAACAAACACTTTCAAAAGATGATCAACAGAATCAAGTATATTTAAACTACTTTATGACTATGTCTCACCAAATTAGAAATACTATCATCAAGAAAAGAATTGACGACAAATGCTGGTGAGGATTTGGAGAAAGGGGAACCCTTAGGCACTACTGGTGTAAGTATAAGTTGATGCATACACTGAGAAACTTAGCGTGAAGTTTTCTTAAAAAGCTAAAAACAAGACTAGTGCATGGCTCATCCCTACCATCCTTGGACTTAACTCCAAAGAGTTCTATACCATATTAGAGAGATGATTACTTATCCATGTCCATTGATGCTCTACCTACAATATCTAGGACACAAAATCAACCTAGATGTCCATCAACTTATAAACAGATGAGTAAAATGTGAAATATATATACATATATATATGAATCATATTCAGCTGTAAATAACAGTAAAATTATGCACAAAAATGGGTAGAACTGGGACATACTATATTAAGTGATGCAATCCAGGCCCAGAAAGACAAATTCCACATGTTCTCTCTCCTAACTGAATCTGATCTTAAATTTTGTAGATTTGTGTTTAATTTTGGGTGTTTATAGAGTTCTGTAAGCTACAATATAAGCAGAAAATGAAGAGGTCGTGGAAAGAGAGAGAGAGAGAGAGAGAGAGAGAGAGAGAGAGAGAGAGAGAGAGAGAGAGAGACAATGGAGTACTATACATGTGATGACAAAGTAGGGAAAATGTTGAGAGTATACGGTTTAAGCAGGGGTGAGAGCAAAGGCATGGGGAACAGAGCAGGTCATATGTGTGTTAATCAAAATTAACAAGTTTTGAAGAATCTTTGTGGAAATCCACCATCTTGTATGCTAATTAAAAACATGATTTAATAACAACAAAAACAGGAATATTAACCGGAGGTCCTCTGCATGGGTGGATAATGCTTCCTCCAGAAGAAATATGTTATCAAATGTAAACCTCAGTGCTTAGTGTAGGACACCTCCCTACAAGTTATTGATCAGGGAGACCCCAGATACATCTTAAACAACATAGGTTATTGTTGTTGTTGTTGTCATTAATGGTTGCCCACTGTAACTATAGTTGAAATGACCCTATTGGTGAACACAACACAGTTTTGTTCCAAAACACACAAACCAAACTGGATGTGACTAGGAAACTTCCTCTATGCTGGCTAGCTCTCACAGTGTTGAAATGTGTTTTGCAGGCCACTGGAGGAAAAAAAAATCATCAGTGGAGTTATTCAGTGGTATATGCTGATATAACACTTAGCTGCCAGGCAAGATGAATCCATTCGTAAAATAGTGGTATGCATGTTATGGGGGTAACCAAGTGCATTCTGATTAGATTTTAGGTCTGTTCCACAGCAAAGAATTCATGCCTTGTACTGTAAACCTACTTGGACAGATCCTGTGGCTAAGAAGATCCTGCCAAGGTGGAGATGACTTACTACTGTCTTTTTGTAAAATATACATGTTCTCAAATTGTCTTCTAAATATTTATGTTCAAATATACACATGTTGCTGCTTTTGACCTGGTCAGAGAAAATTCTTTTTTGCAGTGGGCAGCAGTCAATGCAGAGATTCATACAAAGTCAACATGCTGGGAAGAGTGACTGTTGAGTGTTCAGTCCTATCATCAACCTTTCTACACCTGCAACTCACAGAACACAGAGGTAGAGGGGCCTGAAAGAATGTAAGAGCCAGAGAATGCCAGAGAGTGCTACAAAAGCTGTCTCCTGGACTTGACTTGGATGTTGCTCTCACTAACTCATGAATAAAAGCAGTGGGGACCCACACAAGACATGCACAAGATCAAGCCAACCGACATCCCAGCGTGCACTAGAGAAGGGCTCATGAATTCCCAACCCTGATTAAGGAGCTTTTGGCAGCTGATGATTGCTAGGGGAGGGGAAGTCTTCTTCAAGTGTGTGACCATGGGTAGGTTGTCTGCGTGCTAGCGAGTGGATGCTGCACTCTCACGCACATTTGAGCAACCCTTATTGGGCTCATTGGGTCAGAAAAAAGGAAGACAGGAAGGTGGGATGGGGCATGTTCAGGAGATTCTAAAGAGGTGGAAGGGAGGAGTAAGGAGTGGAAAAGATCCAGATATATCATATATAAGAAAATGCATGAAAAAGCATTAAGATGTCAGTTAGGTAAAATACCACTAAAAAATGAAATGGTCACTTTCTTTTTAAAATTTTTACACATGCTTTTAATCACAAGTAACAGATGGATTCAGCATATACAGACACTACATTTGCAATTGCATTAGTAAGCTGTTTTAAAAATAATGCTTTTATTATTTCCTTGAGTATTTCATAGAATGTGTTTTGACGATGTTCATGTCCCTCCAAAACGCCACCCAGATCCTTCCCCACATCCCTGCCCACCCAACTTCACATTCTCTACCTCCCCCTCTCTCTTTTTAAAACCACTTTTTGAAGTTGTATTAGTTGTAATAGCCTCATTAGTTTATAGCATTTATGGTACTATTTTATAGCATTTAAAAGTATTTTCATTATCACGTTTGCCTGTACAAGTTGCTCAAAGTGTGAAAGATATTTTTCTTCTGGAATGATTAATCTGGATTATGATATATATATATATACCATTTGAAAAATATATATCAAATTTGTAATTATTAAATATAAAATTTTATTGAACTCACATTTAAAAAGAGATTTTTATTTATGCTTATTTTATATGTAAGAGTGTTTTGTATGTATGTATACCACATATGTGCAAGGTGTTCTCAGAGGACAGAAGAGGGCATTGAATTCCTCAGAATTCCAATTACAGAAGGCTGTGAGATACCAAGTGCATACTAGGAACTGAACCTAGGTCCTCTGGAAGAGCTGGACCATCTCATCAGACCACAAATCCTACCTTAATAAGTTCAACAGTCTGCTTCTGAGTGAGAGAGTGAGGTAGTAGCTGGCAGTCATCATTATTTATATGTCACCACTTAGGACACCCCTCCCACTGCCCTGAAACTAAAAGTTAAATTTTAAACTCCTTCTTTGATGTTACTGATTAATCTGTGTGAACATGAAAATTTTTAGTCATCATTGGAAGATTCTGGAGGTGATCTTCAGAACCAGTCTGTATTGTTTTTCCACTCTGCATCATTGCCCCCTACAGTGGGAAGCTACACTGTTTCTACCCCCTTGAATCTGGGATACCACTGAAATTTACACTGGCAGATACAATTCAGCCAAGGGCCTTAAAACTTACACCCTTTTTGTTTCCTTGGAACCTTCATATCACTATAAGAATAAACGGGGCTCAACTTAGAGTTGAAATGAGCAACAACTTGTGTACACATAGGTCACATTCAAA